AATAAAATTAAATCCATGGCATTGGGCTTTTGGAGTTGAAGATCTAAGCAAGTCATAGCATTTCTCAGAAAAGATCTGCACCCTGTTATTTCATAGCTCCCACAAGCTAGAGCTGATGGACTCGCCAACAGCACTGACAGCCACCATGTTCAATAAACCCTACCATTCTTAAAAGCTGGAAGTTAGTGCCAATGCAAATGGAGAAAACACAAAGGATTTGATCTGTAACCTTAAATTTTCTGAATGTATTCAGATACAGAGATTTCAAGCACATACTCCTTAGGCATCAGGTTCCCAAGAAAGTAAACAAATCCCTGCTAATTGGACAAGAACTTGATATGTGGAAAGTAGCTGCTCGTATAGACTTTCTCATATCTACGTATGTGTCCCTACCAACCTTGTTTATATCTAAATTAGTCACTCTTTCCCAAGGGGACTCTTTCCCCTTATGTAGCAGGAACACAGTGCGCTACAACTGCCTCTGTTTTGTTCTTTTTCTGAAGATAATCATAAAGCCTTTAAGCTCAGACCGTCTTTAAAATCAGTTTAAAGCTGGTATATGAGATTGACATTTCTGAGAGACAGATATGAATTCTGTGTTTCCAGAGCCTGAATTGTATTTTGACACATTAAATATCCCCTTTCCATCCAGACCTATACATTGCATCCCTGGATTAGATGAAGTGATACGACTCATCTCCACTTTCCTTTAGTTACGTTGGTCAGCAGCTCCCTTGGAGAAGTTGTACTCAATACCCTGGACTGCTGCAGTGATACCACGTGAGGGAAAGCTTTATGGATGTCGTTGTTCATTTCAGGAGAAAACTTGGACAGATACATTAGGGCCATAATTAGCAGGAATGCTAGAGAAATATGATGTAATAAACAACATTCTTGGAAACTTCTTGTTGTTGAGTGCCATCGAGTCGATCCCGCCCCATAGTGACCCTGTATAGGGTTTCCAAGGAGTAGCAGGTGAGCTTGAACCACTGACCATGCGGATCAAACGACTTTGCAATCCAGTGCATTAGCCCACAGTGCCACACCAGGACTCCAGCAACAACAATGTTGTTGTTGTTGTTAAGTGCCAT